GGAGGAGTGGTTTAATACTCTTAAAACAAAAGTGAATTACCGCCTGAGAGCGGATTACAAAAAATACAAATTAGCAGAAACGAAGTCTATTAAAGATAAAATAGACAAGAGAGTAGAAATTACACGAGATTACCAAATAACATGGCTAGCCAGCATATTAGATAGAAACACTCTCACTAATATAGTTATAGATAAAGTGTTAGTAAATGAGGAAACAGGAATTTCGACTAAAAGACTAGCTACAGAACTGAGAGAAGTTAAGAAAGCAGTGGACAATGATTTCATGAACATGTTTAGGAAAAGAAACATACTGCTGGATACAATAACACCAATTTGACGACAAATTTATGAACCTGTAAGTAAATTTAAAAATAAAGAGTCGGCTGCAGGATTGTCTGGTATAAATTACAGAATCATCTTACAATTGCCTGAGGAATTAATCCTCTTCATGGTCAAGTTCAGAAACTTGACACTACAAACTGGACTTGTGCCTATGGCATGGAAAACATCGGTCATTCTCCCCATACCTAAGCCCGTCAACTTTGAATACAACATTTTGAACACTCGACCTATTGCATTGTTGGATTGTTTTCGGAAAACCTTTACAAAGATGATCACGAACAGGTTGAGTTCGGTTTTGAAACAATGTAACGTATTACAGGGATACAATTGTTGCAGTTTACCCAAAGAATGCACAAGCGAACCAATACACCTAGTTAACAATTTTATAGAGAATGCCAGGGAAAACAGTAAGGAACTATGAGTCCTCACACAGGATATGAAAAAGGCGTTTGATTCAGTGGGATTAGTGCTCCAAAACGAGTCAAGTTGACTCGCGAGTTGGTTGAGTTGAGTCGAGTCGAGTTGAAAATTATAATCAAATCGAATCGATTCGAGTCGAGTTAATAATTTAATAAAATCGAGTCGAGTCGAGTTAAGCCTAATTAAACATAATTCTGGCCAAATTTATGGAATTTCCTTTTTTGGAAATTAAGTTACACAAAATCTGAGACGAAATTTTTTTGAAAATTACAAAAATGGAATTTTGTGGAATGGCTATCGCCAAAAAAAGGAAATGATCGGCATAGCCAAATAAAATCACGTGATTTAATTCAACTCGACTCGATTCGGTTTGACGGGCCAACTCAACTCGAATCGAGTCAAATTTATATTTTTATAATTTTAACTTGACTCGACTCGACTCGATTTAACTCGAGTCGAATTGAGTTTACATATAACTCGACTCGACTCGACTCGTTCGGAGCTCTAAGTGGGATTAGAGGTTTTAAAACGAGCCATACTTCGTATTGACATCCCAGCATCATTGGTTGAATAGATTATAGCCCTTTTTAAACACAGACATCTTAGAGTAGCCACAGCGTATGGATTAAGTGATGGGTTCATCGGAAACAACAGAATTGATCAGGGTGACGCACTTTCTCCGTTATTGTGGCGAATTTTTTATGATCCGCTGTTGGTAAGAATACAGCAAACCAAAGACAGCGAATATGAAATGAAGGTTACCTGGCCGAATGATATTAATGACCCTATCACATGGACGCAATACAGGCTTCAGGTCCCCGTATGTGCATATATGGATGATACGATATTCTTAGAATCATTAAGATTTAGGATGCATAATATAGTAGATATAGCAAATGAATTCTATATAATTAATGATATTGATATCAACGCTAAGAAGTCAGAATTGATAATCATCAACCCAACTGTGGAATGGCACGAACAAAATATTGAACTAGGTTGTGATCGTTCTATAATTCAAGCCACAAATGAGGAAATAAGGTATCTCAGAGTCTAATGAACTGAGCAGACGATGATGGATGCAACGCCTATCTATGATAGTCATCAATTTTTGTACTATAGTCCGTAGGAAATTCATTTCAGCTGGTCAATGCATTTACCCAATCAATAGAGTATTAATACTTAGACTAATATATACAGCTCAAATTATAACATTATCAGAGCATGATTGGAATCACATATTTGCTCCGGTAATGAAGGTGGTAAAAAATTGGTTGAAATTACCTAAGAATACACCTTCGTCATTATTATTTCATGAGGGATGTCTCGGTATGGATCATCCATGGAAACTCCACTGCATCAATACCATAACAGACTTAACGATTAGGTTGAATAGTGATTCATACG